AGGTATATAATAAATCGATATTGGGCATACTTTAAACAGTCCCTTGGTTTACAGAATAGTTCTTTAACACAGTTGATAAGACGAATATGTCTGAGTATGATCGCGTAAACCGTGCATTTGTTTAAATTTTTTCTCTCTCAAATTCTGGCCTCCTTTTGTTTCCAACGTAATCGTATAATTATCAGCTTTTCTGTATTTAACTTAACGCTAGCAATATTATGGCGTGTCATTCAGTTAAGCTGATTGCAACCAGCGAGAGTTCTCGCAGAGTTGGATCGATCTACATAGACCGATGCTGTCTATGGGAATGGGCCCTGAGACGTCATTTTGTTTGGGAATAGTCCGTGCTCTTTTGATTGGGTAGGGGGGTCCGCATTTGTTAGGTTATGTTAGTTGGTGCATACCTATTGAAATAATGTCCTAGTACCGATGGTCTAAACTGCAGTCGCTTTCATTAGTTATATTTCTTTAAATGTAGTAAGAAAAAACGTATTTTGCTCCTATGCTGGGCCTTTAAATGATTTTTTCTTGTTTTTATTTATAGTTTGGGAGAATCTTTCCAACTTTACTCCGAAAGCAATCCTGTAACAATCTTATGAGTTTGGATTATGTAACTGGAATGGAATTTCTGATTGCTGTTAAGGTTGGTACTGTTCACAGATCAGGGACTGGACACGGGAGACATAAGATATTTTTCGACAAAATTATAATCCCTTTTTTCTAGTCAAATTAAATTTTCTCCGAAAACTTTTTCTTGTACTCACAAATCATTTCTCGACCTGTTCCTGTCCTAATTAAAAAAATGAATGCTTCATATCATTTCTATTGACTGGTCAATAACTTACACCGCCATCGCTTCCTGTACATTTCAGAAAGAAATATCGATATGTTTTTTTTATTTTTGGGATTTTATCTTATTTCGGTCTGAATAGGAAAAGATAAGTAGCTTTAAAGGATGTGCAGGCATAGCAAGTGTGACTTTGGGACGTATTCAAACGCGGATAGCATATACACAAATATGATGCATATGAAAATTAGTAACTTTCAAATCCTCAAATTATAATTTAACCATCAATTACATCGACGATAAGTATCCAGAAATATTTCTAAATAATTACCGGAAAAATTTATCAAGCTCTATCAACTAAGTCTTCATAGGCCTTCGAGCGGTATATTTAAGTGATACACTAAATGAGTTTATAACGTAACGGAGTCACCTAAACGGACCCTCCGTGCTCAACATCGTCAATTATTAATTAATTAAACGGCAGGAAGCGCAAATGTGGACAACTTGTGAAAGGAGGTACATCCACTGATTAAATAGATATAAGGTCTCTTTTTAATAAATGATTTTAACACATGCAAAACAATGAAGGTAACGTATACCCAGCTTACACAGAACGTTTTGATAAACAGGTTACAAATTATACTTTTTTGTTAATTTTGGCAAAGACACGTAAAGGATTCATATTTTGCATCACTACAATTTGCACAACTTTAATCAGCACATCTAGTATTAAAACGTTCTAACAATGTTATAAAAATAATAAGACATGTGTCGGTTATATTTACCAATATAGCACGCAGTAGTCGCGTCTTACGCTGTCGGTATAACGTTGGGCATCAAGCCTGCGTCATACGCTATTTTAACCACACCTAGTGGCTGATTACAAATTGAGGTTGGGGTTGGTCGGCGATTAGAGCGATGAGGATTTTAGAACCCGCGGGCAGTCGGTACCTACCCGAAATTACCGAAATGATGAAAAGCTTTTAAAAAAACCTATAAAAATAGACTTCAATTATGTAATAAGGTTTATCAAAATTATTAAAAAGGCGTTTTCAAGAAATCCTAATAGTTGATTGGCGTTTGTGATGAATGAATGGATTGTTTTAACTTCATTTTAGAAAATTCATTCTAATAAATTGCTTACAAGGTCAGCTAACACAGGAGTAGTTAAAAGGTTGCTCAGTGAAGACTTGACTGATGCAAGTAAGGTTGAATAGTACGCCACGGTCATCTGATAGACAAATTGGGGGAGTCCATTCAATAGGAGGGGTTTAGTGGAGAAAATCCACTCAATCTGAAGAAAGTGATTACTCCATTCTGAATAAAGAGGTGTCATGTGGGGCGATTCCATTCCATTAGAGGGGTGCCAGGTGGGCGAGTCCATTGCATTAGAGGGGTGCCAGGTGGGGCAAGTNAACAGAGGGGTGACAGGTGGGGAGAGTCCAAACAGGAAATATTATATCCAAACTAATTAGTTCCACATGCTATAGAACAAAAATCTCATGTGAATTTTTTTAAAACCAGGATTGTAAATTTATATAAATTTAAACTATAAAATGTTGGTTGTTGGAAACCATTTTAGATATTTTGTTTCATTGCGCTAAAACAGCTTGGAGGGGTTATTTAGAAAATACCGGTCATTTTACAAATATTTAAATTTAGGTACCACAGAAAACTGTCAACCACAAAAACATTGACATCAAATTGAATTTGAAAGTCCTCAAACACTAAAAATAATCCATTTTCCATTATGATTACTACTATCCTTATCATAATAATTTCATAACAAAGTGAAAAATAAAACGTCAAATTACAAAAGGTTTTTATTGAGTTTTAATATAATAGATGTACGAAGGAGCGTGGATCCTTGTGTGTGAAACAAAGAACAGACTTCATAGGTTGCTTTCAGGCGGATGCTGTGCAGAAGCTCGTTGAGCTCCTGAAAAGATAAAACCGTGAATCAGAAGCTGAGAACGGTGACAAGCATCATCCAATTAATTAATTTGAGTGGTTATATTACATTTAAACACACACGACATTTTAAATTAGGTCAAAATATTCAAAATTAAATGTCAAGACCGGGGCACACAAAATGTTCAAAAAGAGGGTTACAAAGTGCAGAGGATTTCAAGCAAACTTAGGTTATCATCAAAAGTTAGATGAATGCGCCGCTTATCCTGAACATTTGGAGTCACAATGCACTGAAAGCAATACTTTCTACTTGTTTTCTCAGTGACATACAAGTAACAATGTAAATATAGTAAAAGGATTCGTGTCATAAATATTTGCCGTAAATATTTTCCTCATTCTTCTGCACATTTAGTATTTAATGGCTGTGGTTGATAAAGAAAGATTGATACTCACAAACGTACATTTGCTTCTACGCATTATAAAAGCTCGACCTTCTGACTGCACCATACATGCTGTTGCGTCTACACCCGACTCTGTCTAACTGCCAAGTTAGCATTCGGGAAGACAGCTCGCACTACGATGAATAACTTGTTGTTATGCAAATAACAACAGGTATAGCTCATTTTAGATGAGAGGTTGTTACTGAAACTGTATACCTTCATATGCTCAAATTCGTGCAAATATTCGATGTCACATACGATACTCTACAAGGCCAAAAGTGTCTAGGCCAGGTGTAACAACAGGAACAACAGAAACACTACTTTGTACCGGTGACAGTCCTCCATATACTAACCCCAATACTCCAATTAACCCTAACCTGTACCATAGAAGTTTTCTCTACTTCTATGCCTGTACTAATAATCATATGGGAGCCCGGACTTCCATTCCCGTTGCACCTGTTTCCCCTGTGTGAAAATTATTCTGAAAAATCAGCATTCTTTACACACACACACACAAATCGATAAGGTCTACTGCTATGCTACGATACATTTTGGTCAGTTAGGGGAATTGGCCTGCTGACTAAAATAAAATTTTAGCATCAAGCCCCCGTTCGCCATTCATGGAATCAGAAGTAGGTGTTTAACGCGAACAAAGGCTGTATTCCCAGAGCTTTTAGATCGATCTATCCCCGCGGGGAGTCTCACTAGATTACTGTCAGATAATCCGGCTTAAATGTCCGTCCCGCCTACTACAAGCTGTAAAGGGGTAATTAACTTTCGTGTCCGCTCGGCTGACAGCTATTTAGCGTGAACCCCCAGGGAGTTAGGTCGATCTAAAGTAGATCGATCTAATCTCTGGAAATGGGGTCAAAGACGCGAGACGTCAATGATGTATTTATGAATCATATCATTTTGAATTTCTCATAGTCTTATATATATATATATATATATATATATATATATATATATATATATATATATATATATATATATATATATATATATATATAACAACTTGTACCAGATTTTCGATGCGTCTTTCATGTGGTCAGGCCCTTGATAAAACATCAAAATATGCATGAGTACATGTAACAAGGACCGAATACATTTGGTGGGTTCTAGTATGACTACTGAAAAACTCGCTTTGTCTCTTTATTTATTTTGTCGACTGACTTATTTACCAATCAGACTGTTAACAGGGACGGATCCAGCATTATTTGAAGGGGGGTGGGATCCGGAACGACAGACCTCGGATGCAAAGCCGAGCATCGCCCCCTTGGTGTGGGGTTTCGGGCCTGCTCAAGGGCCCCGAAAATTTTTTGGTTTTCTGGAGATCAAACAGTGCCCTTTGGTACGGTTTAGAACTATGATTTAGCTAGTCAAAATTCTAATTTCAAGGGGGGGGGGGGATATTGGTGTGATAAATTTTTCAGAAACCAAAGAGGGGGGTCAGGACCCCCCTGACTCCCCCTCCAAATCCGCCACTGAGTAGTGATGGTTGATTGAACAACAGATGAATCATATACGTGTTATGCTTCTGAATTCAAAGAAAGGAAAGCTGACAAATATCTTGTGACATCTCAAACTTTGTATAGACAAATATACATGCAAGTACAACCAAAATATCTATATTGAAATTCTCTGTGGGATACTTCACTTTTGTTTTAAGAATATGTTTTTTTTTTATTTATTTGAAACACAAAGGCCCTATTGACTTTTTTGAATGGTATTCAACAGTAAAGTTTTCACTGCTATTTTCTCGTTTTACTTAGATGGAAAAAGAGAAAATTTATTGGCTGGATGGCTTTCTGAGTAAGAAACCGCTGTACAAAGTAATAGTAAGAACTAAACAAAAACTCAAGTTAATGCACAGTATTTTATTTGGCAATAACTTTAATTTATTATTTTCTGCGCAAGATAATCAATTGCAAAGACGAAAAGTCTGCAATTATCAGTTCACTTTCAATATTGATTTGTGTCCTTGGTGTTCGTCTTCATCTGCGCAGTGACAATATACAATTTATAGAGCTTTCTTTTAAGCTTCATGACTTTCGATGTTTAATTAAATCCATCCTTTACTGCTAACACATCTGCCTGGCTCAGAGCCGACTTGAAGATAACCAGCTGAAATAAAAATGTATACATTTAATTCACAAATAAGGAAATTTTCTGACATAAATGAGGGTTAATTTACTGCACACTGTACATGGGTAGAAGGGAGGATTAAAAAAGCACTGTATTTGCTTCTGATACAAAAGGGACATACAGCTTACAAAATAAGGAATCTTTAATGAATTTTCTTTAAGAGGAGATTTGAACTGGATTATTGAAAAGATAACTATTTGTAGATAGGCTTTATCTTTTATCAAAATTTATAAAAAGTAGCTTTTATGTACAGTGTACAAAAGACAAAACATTTCCAAAAAAGACAAAAAATACGTTTCACTTGCCTCATCCATCTTCCCTATGAAGAAGCTATGGGCATTTTCATTCAGTTCACAGTAAATGGTACGGCCCAAAATCATAGGGACAGGGTTGCTTATTAGATCACCTTAATAAAAATAGAATGATATAACATATATATGAGTCACAGTTTAATATCAAGATATATCACTGATTCCAGGTTAAATAGGCTTATAAAAATAAAAGAAAACATATTCTTCTAACCTTCTTGATTTTTTTTATAATCCTTAAATGTATAATACACTCATCTGTATGTCATACAAATATGCAAAAAAATTGATCATTTGAACCCAAACCAACTTTTGAAAAAAAAATTCATCAATTACAGTACATGGGTGTGCGTGCATGTGTATCGCTAAAATTTCAAATTCATAATTTGTCTGTTTGGCACTCACCAATGGCGTCATTGTTAGCAATGCCCTGACTGACTCCATCCAAATAGAATAGGACTTTATCTACTTCCTTCACCAAACACGTGTGGTGCCATTCGTTTTTGGCAGTCTAAAAAACATGACAATAGACACTTTTGAATACGATCAATGCTGTGATGATATAAAGTATCTTCTTGATGAAAAACATTATTGTCTATCCAGATTTCCATTATCTAATTTGTACATTGTTTGAGAGGAAACACCCAAAACATCACCTTTATTCATATATATATATATATATATATATATATATATATATATATATATATATAAAGACAATTTTCTGTGGAAGAGTACATCATACAAAAGTGATTACGTATATACAATAATCAATCAAAAGCATACAACATTCAATATAATAACTTTCACTTATTTCTTTATCTCCATTAGTCAGAAAATACATAATGAAGGAGATGTGATGAAAATTGAAATGAATCTAAGTACCAATATATCCTCATACGCCTTTCTTTGATGTGACCCTGTTGAAATAACACCGGCACCAACGCTTCCACTGATGCCACCATCAATGCGGATGTTATACGAGGGCTCGTTGTCACAGTCTCCGTTGTTGACTATGCCTCGCATTCTGTCATCACTGTCTCCTGCGGTGTACTTGAACCACACGCAGACAGAAAACTCAGAACCGAGATCGGAGTTACTGAAGGCGGGGATTTCAATATCGGTGTTTCCGTCAAATTGCACAGCACCACCGTGGACAGCATCATCTTGTTGGATAAAAGTCGACCCCTTATCCAACCAACTTATGTGACCTGATTGATCCTTATAGTCCACATCGAATGGGAAGCAACCGATGTTATTGGGGACTGCAATATACAATGGTAAGATAATAAATGAACAGGATATACACATGTGATATATTAAGATTGGATGGACAGGATGACGTTATTCAAGAGAAAAAAATGCAAATGTTTTTCAAGAGCATCATAATTTTTAAAACTGAAATTTTTTTCCAAACCATGCTACAAAAATTATCAATTTCTAAAAGTTTGTATTTTTTTTTTTGTAAAGAGTACAATTTTCACTACCCCTTTCAAAAAAAAAAAAAAAAAAAGATAAAACAGAATTCTATCTAATGATTCAGAAGCTAAACTTACACCGACAAGCAGGAGGAAGTCCGGACTGATCAACAACACAATCACAGGCTGCTAGGCTAAATTCATAGGGGGTACATGGGTATAGAACATACTCATTTCCTCCAGCAACGTATAGGGCATACACATAACTGTCGCCAACCACAGCCCGTTTTTTCCTGCCGTCAGCATCGTAACATGTGTCTAAAAGGAGAAGATTAATACAAGCATTACATTAATTGACAGTCATCATTACAATTTATTGTATTATATATGTCTCGGTGCTATAGATTAAAATGTAATTAATACACATCTAAGCACTCACTGCATTTATTACACACACACACACACACACACACACACACACACACACACACACACACACAAATCCATGACATTTGAATTTCATGTGTCACTGACAAATAATTAATATATGTGCCATACTTTTTGTTTATGAATATTAAGCACAGATGAAATGAAACTAAAATTGAAATTTTCCTGAATGTTTACTTGTGTCACAAAGCTTTTTCAATGTAAGCACTATGGCAAAACAATAAATTAACAATGTAGGCTGTGTTCAGACTAAAAGTTATCAGTCCAGCTGGATTGATCTACCTCTGCAAGGATTCTGGCTTAAGTGCACTCAATGTAATCAGTTTAATGGTTTGGCCCGCCCCCTCCAAAAGCTAGAGGGTAATTATCTTTTATAAGTGACAGTATCAGGGGCAGATTGAGGCTGTCTTCTGGGTCTTACGGAAGACGGTCAGATTCTCATGTTTACATTGATGGGTATCTAATTTTTTCTGTTGGAAGACTGCCAAAAATGGAGGATGGATCAACAAAGATAATTTGGAATATGATCTCTGGATCTGCCCCCGAGTATCGCTGCAAAGATGGATCGGTGCTGCTGGACCGATATCTTTTACTGTGAACACGGCTGTAGACACCTACCTCCTAGTGTATGAGGTGGCAGGGTGGGGGGTGCCACTGTGGGAGTGACTGGTGTAGAGCAGACATCTGTGCAAGAGGCGTCTCTGAAGATACAGCCGCTTCCACCCCACATGGTGTTGCCAGGGCAACACATGCGGACAGCTCCAGCGGGGCTGCACTGGTAGTACGCCGCGCAGTTGGTTGGGTCGCTGTAGTAGCCAGTTTCACATTTGCCTGTGAGAAAAAAAAGTTGAAATAAAATGTTATAACTGATTATGGGTAGTGAATTTTTATTCAATAATGTGGAACTGATACAGCAACAACAACAACAACAATAATAATAATAATAATAATACTTTTTTGTGTTTACCCCCACTCTGAGTCTATCATTAAATAAATGACAATAACTATGACAAATTTGTAACTGAGCCAGATTTTATTTTCTGAAATAAACAGAAAAATTAAGATAGGAAAAAGAAAAAAACTCTTGCATTACAAAATAATGTAAGCATGAAAATATAATTTTTCCACTGCAGCAGTCAAAACCAAAAGAAAAATAAACTTCCATCAACATTTTTTTGCCACTTGGTAGTAACATATCATGATCTTCCCAACCCACAATCAATAGACAATAACTCACTGCCAGTCTCAAACTTTAAAGAAAATCAAATGTTATTACAAAATCAAAACAATTACAATGCATATGACATAAGTGTCTGTGCTTATGCATGTATATGAGTAAATAAATAGACCTCACCGTTTTCTTCACAGTCTGGTTTTCCGCCTATAACACCTACACATGTCGCCTTGTCGCAGCTGACACAAGTCAACTCACTCTGGCTCCACAGGAGATTTCCTGGACAGGCACTGGACACAGTAACAATGTTTCCATCAATGTCCTGCAGACACTGCACAAACCGTCCACAGTCATTGGGATCTTCATAATAACCTGGTCCATTTCTGAGATAGATACAGTCGCGACAGTAATCTGGAAAATTGAGGATGAAAAGTAAAAATTGGAGGGGGGGGGGGGAGAGTTAAACTCAAACAAGATTTATTGGATATGTTTACAGTAAGGTACTTTTATAAATTATAGGTCTATTCTACAAGTTAACATTTTCCTCTACTGTCCTTGTTAATGTATTCTCATGGTTTTTCCTTGGCAAAGATGTTGATGTTACTAATACATGACTGTTTTAACTCCATCAAAACCCAAAGCAAAAAGTTGTAACTATAAGTTATATTTACCCAAACATAATGACCAGTAAAATGATCAAGTACCAAAAGTATGTTGGATACATCAGAATAAAATATGACATAATTGTATGTGTTCTAAAGCAGTTAATGCATAAAAGAATAAATCAATTAACATTTATTAAGTGTGCACAACCAATGGTACTTACTTGAGACTGTAGCTGAAAAAAGGAGTAGAAAACATGTTAAGATAAGATATGATACAAAAAGTAAAAAACAACAAGAGATATCAAAATCCCAATTTGTTATCATTACATATGCCTCCATTCAAAAAATTAATAATCAAAAACATATTCTACTGCATTACAGTACATCAACAAATATGGATCATGCTACAGCCAAATTTGACGAAATCAGTGAATCATAATTCCCTTAATTAAGCCACAAAGCATTAAAACAAACACAATCATAAAACCCTGACTCACGTGTATCACACATTGCAGGTCCGGAATCATAATTGCCAGCATCCAAGCAAGTTATTGTTTTTGTTGTAGATCCATCAGCCATAGTGTAGCCGCTGTTACAAGTGTAGATTACTTTTGTACCAAAGTCTACTGGGGCACTGACACCTGGGTAGTTGTTCGATGCTCTGGAACCATCCATTGGCAAATCACAGCCAGCTAAAATTGGAAAACGAAAAAATACATATCACTAAATTCTAAAATATATTAAAGTGCTTCGCATTTTCATACTATAATGTCTGCTTATGGCATTATTGAAACAAAATCAAAATTGCTTAGAGAGAGGAAATTAAATGTGTAACCAGTGATGAAAATGCTGTACAAATAACAAGTTTTCACAATTTTTTAAATGTTAGAAATAAGTAGCTCATGGAACCGACATCTATCTGGCACATGGCATTTGCCTTATCTTCATGGGAACAAGAGCAGTGACAGAATACACACAGAAATGATATTTTGGTATTTGTTAATATTTCAACTTCTATTAAGCCAAGTGAATTCATGGCATCTTATCATCTGCAATAATTTAAACAGAAGCCAAATTGCAAAACAACAAGAATGAAACAAATAGCATACGTTGATCACACTGTGGAGGGGTGTCGTCGTAAGTGCCATCGGGCAAACATTCAATGGTCTTCTCCTTCACTCCAGAGACATCAAAGAATGGCATTCTACAAGTAAATGTAATGAATGTACCAACAGGCACAGGATCCTCTCCCTGGTAATTATGTTGACGGTTCACATCATCATCCATAGGTATTGGACACCCAGGTTCTGGAATTAAAAAAAATATATATATTTTTTATTTTTCAGGTAGGGAGGTACATCAGTTATGTACATATGACAAGAAAAAGAACATTGGTATTTCTGTTTATGCTAAAACAATGCTTAATTTTACTTGTAATCTAAGAGCAACTATAACATGTATAATAGTTTTTGTATTTACCAGTAAAAATGTAAGCACATACTATACATACATCATACTAACTAGTCTGTCTATAAACTGATCTTATTAGAATAGAATATAAAGAGGACATTTTCTGAGTTATATCCACAAGCTATATGCAGTGTTGCACAGCAAACATACAAAAGCACAGAATAAACATTTAATTATACCTTAATGGTTGTGAATAATATGGGTATAAGAGAACAACTAAATGAATTGCCACAAATAAAAAAAAGTTCATAAATCGTCGTTGATATCCATCCTGTGTTGTTTGTGTAGTAGTGATCAGATTATGGCCCTTCAGCTAGTAAGAAATCTTGTGCTCAGTGAATCATAACTCCATTAATTAAGCCACAAATTCAGTAAAACAATCACAATCATAAAACCCTGACTCACGTGTATCACACATTGCAGGTCCGGAATCATAATTGCCAGTATCCAAGCAAGTTATTGTTTTTGTTGTAGATCCATCAGCCATAGTGTAGCCGCTGTTACAAGTGTAGGTTACTTGTGTATCAATGTCTACCGGGGCACTGACACCTGGATAGTTGTTCGATGCTCTGGAACCATCCATTGGCAAATCACAGCCAGCTGAAATTGGAAAACGGAAAAATACATATCACTAAATTCTAAAATTTAATTATCTATTTAATATTAAAGTGCTTAGCATTTTCATACTATAACTTTTGCTTATGGCATTATTGAAACAAAATCAAAATTGCTTAGAGAGAGGAAATTTAAATGTGTAATCAGTGATGAAAATGCTGTACAAATAACAAGTTTTCACAATTTTTTAAATGTTAGAAATAAGTTGCTCATAGAACTGACATCTAACTGGCACATGATATTTGCCTTATCTTCATGGGAACAAGAGCAGTGACAGAATACACACAGAAATGATATTTTGGTATTTGTTAATATTTCAACTTCTATTAAGCCAAGTGAATTCATGGTATCTTATCATCTGCAATAATTTAAACAGAAGCCAAATTGCAAAACAACAAGAATGAAACAAACAGCATACGTTGATCACACTGCGGTGGGGTGTCGTCGTAAGTGCCATCGGGCAAACATTCAATGGTCTTCTCCTTCACTCCAGAGGCATCAAAGAATGGCTTTTTACAAGTAAATGTAATGAATGTACCAACAGGCACAGGATCGTCTCCCTGGTAATTATGTTGACGGTTCACATCATCATCCATAGGTATTGGACACCCAGGTTCTGAAATTCAAAAGATATATATTTTTTTATTTTTCAGGTAGGGAGGTACATCAGTTATGTACATATGACAGGAAAAAGAACATTGGTACCTCTGTTTATGCTATAACAATGCTTAATTTTACTTCTAATTTAAGAGCAACTATAACATGTTTAATAGTTTTTGCATTTACCAGTAAAAATGTAAGCACATACTATACATACATCATACTAACTAGTCTGTCTATAAACTGATCTTATTAGAATAGAATATAAAGAGGACATTTTCTGAGTTATATCCACAAGCTATATGCAGTGATGCACAGCAAACATACAAAAGCACAGAATAAACATTTAATTATACCTTAATGGTTGTGAATAATATGGGTATAAGAGAACAACTAAACGAATAACCACAAATTAAAAAAGGTTCAAAAATCGTCGTTGATATCCATCCTGTGTTGTTTGTGTAGTAGTGATCAGATCATGGCCCTTCACTAAGAAATCTTGTGCTCAGTGAATCATCACTCCATTAATTAAGCCACAAATTCAGTAAAACAAACACAATCATAAAACCCTGACTCACGTGTATCACACATTGCAGGCCCGGAATCATAATTGCCAGTATCCAAGCAAGTTATTGTTTTTGTTGTAGATCCATCAGCCATAGTGTAGCCGCTGTTACAAGTGTAGGTTACTTGTGTATCAATGTCTACCGGGGCACTGACACCTGGATAGTTGTTCGATGCTCTGGAACCATCCATTGGCAAATCACAGCCAGCTGAAATTGGAAAACGGAAAAATACATATCACTAAATTCTAAAATTTAATTATCTATTTAATATTAAAGTGCTTAGCATTTTCATACTATAACTTTTGCTTATGGCATTATTGAAACAAAATCAAAATTGCTTAGAGAGAGGAAATTTAAATGTGTAATCAGTGATGAAAATGCTGTACAAATAACAAGTTTTCACAATTTTTTAAATGTTAGAAATAAGTTGCTCATAGAACTGACATCTAACTGGCACATGGCATTTGCCTTATCTTCATGGGAACAAGAGCAGTGACAGAATACACACAGAAATGATATTTTGGTATTTGTTAATATTTCAACTTCTATTAAGCCAAGTGAATTCATGGTATCTTATCATCTGTGATAATTTAAACAGAAGCCAAATTGCAAAACAACAAGAATGAAACAAACAGCATACGTTGATCACACTGCGGTGGGGTATCGTCGTATGTGCCATCGGGCAAACATTCAATGGTCTTCTCCTTCACTCCAGAGGCATCAAAGAATGGCTTTTTACAAGTAAATGTAATGAATGTACCAACATCCACAGAACCGTCTCCCTGGTAATTATGTTGACGATTCTCACCATCCATAGGTATTGGACACCCAGGTTCTGGAATTCAAAAATATATATTTTTTTCATTTTGCAGGTAGGGATGTACATCAATTATGTACATATGACAAAGAAAAGAACAATGCTATATTTCTGTTTATGCTATAACAATGCTTTATTTTACTTGTTATCTAAGAGCAACTATAACATGTATAATAGGTTTTGTATTTACCAGTAAAAGTGCTTTTGACTTTAAAAACAAGCACTTACGACAATTAGCTGGACCACTGTCATAAAGTCCAGTCTGCAGACACTTAATTGTCTTAATTGTTGTTCCATCATCCATGAGATTTCCAGCATTACAGATATAGGTGACATTGGTGCCTACTGCCACTGGTAAGCCATTAGTATAATCATGGATTGCATTTGTTCCATTCATTGGATGTGGGCATCCAGGACCTGGAAATAAAGTATGCCAAGCTCAGCAAAACATAACAAACATTAATAAGTTCAGATATTAGTTTAGGAAAAATAAAGTGGCAAAAGTGTCATATTATCATATTCTCATGAAAGTATTTTGAAATGTTGTATATTGGAGGTCCTTCTTCAAGTGTCAAGGCTGACCTTTCATATACACCATAGGTATTCATTGTCACCAAAAATCTGATATATCTTTTTTTTCTCTGATACTAGATCAGAATAAGGTGATATTATGGAGTGAACAGAGTCTGTCAGTAAAATGGTATAACATTGGCCAGTGTCTGCCAATAGGTCAATTTCTTTAACTGGGAGTTGTTCATTGTGTCAAAGGTCTCTTAACAGTGGAGTTCACCAAAAATTTTCAGTGTTTTTATGTCTTAAAATAAGATTGCGTTTAAAATAATTATTTACTGCATTCAGCTGGATCTTTGTCATAGGTTCCATCTTTTTGACATGTTATCATGTCNATTGTCTTTATGTCTTGAAATAAGATTGTGTTTAAAATAATTATTTACTGCATTCAGCTGGATCTTTGTCATAGGTTCCATCTTTTTGACATGTTATCATGTCAGTTGTTGCACCACCAGGCATAAAGTTTCCACCATGGCATTCATACTTGACCTGAGTGTCTGGTGGTACTGGTATACCACCAGGATAATCATGATCTCCATTTTGTATCTTCATTGGTAGTAAACATCCAGGCTCTAGAAATAAAGCATGCCAAGCCCATCAACAAAACATTACAAGAACAAAAAAAAACATGAATATCAAAATGTTAATATTATATATAAATATATCATGACCAGCATTTACTCCAGGCATTGGGAGTGGACATCAGATTCTAGAATGAAAGTATGCATAAGTCATTAAAGCAAAAAGAAAACAAAACAAAAATGACACTGTAAATAATAATAATAATAATAATAATAGTAACAACAATAAGGTGACAAAATTATTTGTTAAATAATCTTGTGATATAATCATTCACAATGAAAGTGATTTTGGTTACTTTGGAATCTAAGATCCTTAGAGTCGAAGGTACTTTACTTGTTAAGTTCACCAATATTTGAATTTAACATCTATTTTTTACATAGCTTTGTTTAGAATAAGTCAACATCACAGGTGGGTAGAGTCTGTCAAAAGATTAATTTCTGTAATAATTAAGGAGTTCCTACTTGATATCATTTCAGGTCCTACCAGTGAATTTCACTGAGAATTTAAATTACTGTCACATCTCATCTCATTTTTGATTTGGACTGTACTTTAGGAAAGAGGACTTACGACAATTAGCTGGACCACTGTCATAAAGTCCAGTCTGCAGACACTTAATTGTCTTAATTGTTGTTCCATCAGCCATGAGATTTCCAGCATTACAGGTATAGGTGACATTGGTGCCTACTGCCACTGGTAAGCCATTAGTATAATCATGGACTGCATTTGTTCCATTCATTGGATGTGGGCATCCAGGACCTGGAAATAAAGTATGCCAAGCTCAGCAAAACATAACAAACATTAATAAGTTCAGATATTAGATTAGGAAAAATAAAGTGGCAAAAGTGTCATATTATCATATTCTCATGAAAGTATTTTGAAATGTTGTATATTGGAGATCCTTCTTCAAGTGTCAAAGCTGACCTTTCATATACTCCGTAGGTATTCATTGTCAACAAAAATCTGATATATCTTTTTTTTCTCCGATACTAGATCAGAATAAGGTGATATTATGGAGTGAACAGAGTCTGTCAGTAAATAATGGTATAACATTGGCCAGTGTCTGCCAATAGGTCAATTTCTTTAACTGGGAGTTGTTCATTGTGTCAAAGGTCTCTTAACAGTGGAGTTCACCAAAAATTTTTATTGTCTTTATGTCTTGAAATAAGATTGTGTTTAAAATAATTATTTACTGCATTCAGCTGGATCTTTGTCATAGGTTCCATCTTTTTGACATGTTATCATGTCAGTTGTTGCACCACCAGGCATAAAGTTTCCACCATGGCATTCATACTTGACCTGAGTGTCTGGTGGTACTGGTATACCACCAGGATAATCATGATCTCCATTTTGTATCTTCATTGGTAGTAAACATCCAGGCTCTAGAAATAAAGCATGCCAAGCCCATCAACAAAACATTACAAGAACAAAAAAAACATGAATATCAAAATGTTAATATTATATATAAATATATCATGACCAGCATTTACTCCAGGCATTGGGAGTGGACATCAGATTCTAGAATGAAAGTATGCATAAGTCATTAAAGCAAAAAGAAAACAAAACAAAAATGACACTGTAAATAATAATAATAATAATAATAATAGTAACAACACTAAGGTGACAAAATTATTTGTTAAATAATCTTGTGATATAATCATTCACAATGAAAGTGATTTTGGTTACTTTGGAATCTAAGATCCTTAGAGTCGAAGGTACTTTACTTGTAAAGTTCACCAATATTTGAATTTAACATCTATTTTTTACATAGCTTTGTTTAGAATAAGTCAACATCACAGGTGGGTAGAGTCTGTCAAAAGGTTAATTTCTGTAATAATTAAGGAGTTCCTACTTGATATCATTTCAGGTCCTACCAGTGAATTTCACTGAGAATTTAAATTACTAGCTGTCACATCTCATCTCATTTTTGATTTGGACTGTACTTTAGGAAAGAGCACTTACGACAATTAGCTGGACCACTGTCATAAAGTCCAGTCTGCAGACACTTAATTGTCTTAATTGTTGTTCCATCATCCATGAGATTTCCAGCATTACAGGTATAGGTGACATTGGTGCCTACTGTCACTGGTAAGCCATTAGTATAATCATGGACTGCATTTGTTCCATTCATTGGATGTGGGCATCCAGGACCTGGAAATAAAGTATGCCCACCTCAGCAAAACATAACAAACATTAATAAGTTCAGATATTAGTTTAGGAAAAATAAAGTGGCAAAAGTGTCATATTATCATATTCTCATGAAAGTATTTTGAAATGTTGTATATTGGAGATCCTTCTTCAAGTGTCAAAGCTGACCTTTCATGTACACTGTAGGTAATTGTTGTCACCAAAAATCTGATATATCTTGTTTTTCTCCAATACTAGATCAGAATAAGGTGATATTATGGAGTGAACAGAGTCTGTCAGTAAATAATGGTATAACATTGGCCAGTGTCTGCCAATAGGTCAATTTCTTTAACTGAGAGTTGTTCATTGTGTCAAAGGTCTCTTAACAGTGGAGTTCACCAAAAATTTTCATTGTTTGTATGTCTTGAAATAAGATTGTGTTTAAAATAATTATTTACTGCATTCAGCTGGATCTTTGTCATAGGTTCCATTGTTTTGACATGTTATCATGTCATTTGATGCTCCACCAGGCATAAAGTTTCCACCATGGCAGGTATAGTTGACCTTTGTGCCTATAGGCACTACTACTGGTATACCAGAATAATCATGATACCCATTTTGTATCTCCATTGGTATTGGACATCCAGGCTCTAAAAATAAAGCATGCCCAGCCCATCAACAAAACATTACAAGAACAACAACAACAACAAAAAATTTATATCAAAATGTTAATATTTTATATATATATATATATATATATATATATATATATATATATATATATATATCATGACCAGCATTTACTCCAGGCATTGGGAGTGGACATCAGGTTCTAGAAAGAAAGTATGCAAAGGTCATTAAAGCAAAAAGAAAACAAAACAAAATGACACTGTAAATAATAATAATAATAATAATAATAATAATAATAATAAAAATAATGATGATAATAATAATAATAAAGTGACAAAATTATTTGTACAATAATCTTTTGATATAATCCTTCACAATGACAGAGATTTTGGTTACTTTGGAATCTAAGATCCTTCGAGTCGAAGGTACTTTACTTGTAAAGTTCACCAATATTTGAATTTAACATCTATTTTTTACATAGCTTTGTTTAGAATAAGTCAACATCACAGGTGGGTAGAGTCTGTCAAAAGGTTAATTTCTGTAATAATTAAGGAGTTCCTACTTGATATCATTTCAGGTCCTACCAGTGAATTTCACTGAGAATTTAAATTACTAGCTGTCACATCTCATCTCATTTTGATTTGGACTGTAGGAAAGAGCACTTACGGCAATTAGCTGGACCACTGTCATAAAGTCCAGTCTGCAGACACTTAATTGTCTTAATTGTTGTTCCATCAGACATGAGATTTCCAGCATTACAGGTATAGGTGACATTGGTGCCTACTGTCACTGGTAAGCCATTAGTATAATCATGGAGTGCATTTGTTCCATCCATTGGATGTGGGCATCCAGGACCTGGAAATAAAGTATGCCCAGCTCAGCAAAACATAACAAACATTAATAAGTTCAGATATTAGTTTAGGAAAAACAAAGTGGCAAAAGTGTCATATTATCATATTCTCATGAAAGTATTTTGAAATGTTGTATATTGGAGATCCTTCTTCAAGTGTCAAAGCTGACCTTTCATATACACCGTAGGTATTCATTGTCAACAAAAATCTGATATATCTTTTTTTTCTCTGATACTAGATCAGAATAAGGTGATATTATGGAGTGAACAGAGTCTGTCAGTAAATAATGGTATAACATTGGCCAGTGTCTGCCAATAGGTCAATTTCTTTAACTGAGAGTTGTTCATTGTGTCAAAGGTCTCTTAACAGTGGAGTTCACCAAAAATTTTCAGTGTTTTTATGTCTTGAAATAAGATTGTGTTTAAAATAATTATTTACTGCATTCAGCCGGATCTTTGTCATAGGTTCCATTGTTTTGACATGTTATCATGTCATTTGATGCTCCACCAGGCATGTAGTTTCCACCATGGCAGGTATAGTTGACCTTTGTGCCTATAGGCACTACTACTGGTGTACCAGAATAATCATGATACCCATTTTGTATCTCCATTGGTAGTGGACATCCAGGCTCTAAAAATAAAGGAATCATTGCTCAACAAAACATAACCTTGGACTGGGTTCTCATGCCTAGATTGATCCATCTGGATCGGTCTATCTTCCTGGGGTGTCTCACTTAATTGCTATCAACTTAACTGGCTTAAATGTTTGTCAGACATAAGGAAATTGAAGCTGTCTTACCATCTTGTTTATATTCCAACATATCAATGCTTGTTTGTGTCACAAAAATTACTAGGGATATAAAAGCAATCAAATCAATTACTTCATGTATCAGAGGTGGATCCAGAGATATTTTCTAACAGTTTTCCAAACTATCTTTGTTGATTCATCACCCATTTTTGACAGTCTTCCGACAGAAAAAAATTTATACCCTTCAATGTAAACTTGAAAATCTGACTGTCTTCCGGAAGACCCAGAAGACAGCCTCAATCCACCCCTGTGTATATTACTTACGATTACATGTCTTCCCATCTCCAATCATAGGTGGCGTGCACACGCAGTTTTTCTCTCCATTAACAACATCACAGGTGGCAGCCTGATCGCAGCCATATGCCTCTGATTCAACCTGCTTTGTCCCATCAGGCGCCTTGACGCAGGTGAACATGGTGTTACAATCATCGCTGAGCCATGATGAATCCAACTGGAAATTGAAAATGCTCTTTAGACATTCAGTAATACCACATACTCTATTGAACTTTGAAAGGGTAATTGGACCATTATCATGTTTGCTTTATTACATAACATGCTATTATACATATTTATAAATGTTTCTATTAATAATAGAAGCCATTGGACACATCCATGTTATTTGATGAAAACAAGGCACACTTTGATAGTTTCAAGTACTGGTATGTTAAAATTAATCTAATGATTACTCCTTTCCAAAAAGACATATATAAATTATTAAGTTACTAGTATTTTTAATAATAAAAAAGGCAATTACAAAGCAGAGTACAAGAAAATAACACAGATGGTTAAAAATTACATAAGTGATACATCAATTGATGAAGTGAAGTTGTAATTTATATCAGAGATCTGAATTCTGCTTTGTTTTCAATCAAAATAAAGAACGAAAAATGGCAGATTTTAATTAAATGGAGTCTCCTGGAAGATTTTAGCTACCAACTGATGGCTTTGTCAGTGCCAATTGGGATCCAAACTGCACCCTATATGCATTCAGGTATAAATTTCAACATAAACATTTCTGATCACCTTATGGTAACTCCCATCAGCATCAACACAGCCACAGTTTTCTGGGAGTACACACTCATCTGAGCTCAACAGCATGCCCTCGGCACAGTGGCAGCCTTCTGTATCCTCCAGTGTGCAGGTTGAAGCAGCAGTTGGATCAGCACAAGTGTTGGGACAGGCCGTTCCCAGGGGTACGTAAGCCATATCAGGACCACACTCCAATGCTAAAATAAAATAAACAATTTCTTTTCAATCTTTATGTAAAGGCATTGCATTATGTGTCTTGAAAATCATGATATGTTAAATAGCCAAATCGGGTCTTTCTTTTCAGGATTGAATTTTTAGATCTGTTAAATGAACTGAATTACACTGGCCATGCTTTACAAGAGATATCTGAAGAATATAAGAAAGGTTTTGGTGTCTGGTAATCTCTTTATAATTCAAACATCGATTATAGTTATTGCAGTATTTCATCCAGGCACTTATTATAATAATCACAGTAGGTGAAAAAACATGCATATGTAGGGACTTAAGCCTCATGCTATCTCATGGGTAGCGGATTGGAGCTGTATAATAGTCCACTTTGTCTCCTCTAATGTTTAGTGTTTTAAATTTGTAATACTCACGGCAGTTGGTTGCATTTCTCCAGTATGTGACTGGATGATTGATTCCACGGCAGAGTTCTGCCGTAGATTCAAGAATTTTGCACGATGCTTCCTTTGCTGTATCAGGGTCTGTTTCCAGTCTTTCACAGACATCAGTGGTACATCCCATTAAGGCAGACTCCAGATATCCTGGGGGAAGCATATTGCTGTCATAACATGCCTTAAAGATGTTGTCGGAGTGGATATCAAGCAGGTAGCCGCAGTAGTCGATGCCCCTAGCAATGTCTTCATTGGCACCGGTACATGTCTCGCCATCTTGTGGTGTGCCATCTCTGCATCTGAAAAATTGAGAGTCAGGTGTTATACATTTTATAAAACTTCCTCTTAACATTTTGAAACATTTTGTGCTCTATTGGTGTTTAACAAAGAAAATACCAATAGTCTTTTATAATTACCACTTCATGAGACTACCTGTAGATAATACCATTCCCTTTAGACTAAAGCAAATATTTAAATGATATTTTTATGCTGTTACTTAGGAATTTTCTTAATAGTTACTATAGACCTGGTGGGTTAAGGCCTTCTTTAAGCAAAAAAGAACCTTTTTAATCAACGTATCCCACCCAAAACTGTTGAAAAAAAATACAATCTACAAACCTGTTTTAAAGTTCTAAATTCCTTATATGTAATTTTTACCATAAATTGTGAAACAATGATCATCTCCATATCAAGAGTGATTCAATTATTAGAATAACTTGTACACATAAAAGTTTTTTACAAATGAAAAGTGTGACATTCATTGGATGCCTCAAATGAAGTACTCATGAGTTATACCAGTATATCATTTTAGGCTTCTTTCAAACTGTTGTCGCAAATTTGCTGCAAATCTGCAGGAAGGAATTTCCCATGAAAATGCAGTACTGATATAATTTCAGAGGGTTTGCAGGCTTTTTGCAAACTGATGCTCTTGCAAATTTAAATCAGTACCTTATGATTCTTGAAACAACCTGAAAAAACTTTTTTGCAAACTGTTTAGTTTGCAGCAAGTTTGCAGCAAATTGAATGTAAATTTGAATCAAACTTTTCATTTTGCCAATACATATTTACAGTTTTACTTACACCTGCCCATCTTGGACCTTGTAACTATTGCCAATTTCAGCATAGGCTTCCTTGGGGGGTAGCTGCGAGACATCTGTGCCATCTGACAGTCTTAAATCATCCTGCACCCCATTGCAATCGCCACAAATACCACACATCTCGTCACGGTAGGAGTCTGGTGCATAAACATCAGCCACATCATCGCCATCAAATTTCACAAGCAAAATGGTGCCATCGCCAGGTTGCCCAAGCTCAACTTCAACCCTAACACTACCAGTTACGTCATATTTGATTGCAATTTTTCCTCCTGCCAAATATTTGGGTAGACTACTGATGGATATCCATGGTTGACCTGCTGCTGTGTACTAAAAAAATACAATTTTTTGGTTATATGAGTTCATAAATGATTAAGCCAGATGACAGCAAGCCTGAAATCTGGAAGAAAGTACGTGACAAAAAAAACATTTTGGCTGAAAAAGCTGTGAATCAAACTTTGTAAGTTCTATAAGTCATTTCTCAAGCTGAGCCATTTAAGGCAGATACTGAAAGATCCACTTATTCAGAAGACCCCCCCCCCCCCCTCTGAAATTGCTGGCCAAGGTGTAGATAGTACAAGTAAGATATTCGCTTATATAAAAGAAGATACATACACCCCATTCTCATAGATTAGATCGACCTACATTGGATCGACCTAACTCCCTGGGGGTTCACGCTAAATAGCTGTCAGCTGGGCGGACACGAAAGTTAATTACCCCTTATAGCTTGTAGTAGGCGGGGACGGACACTTAAGGCAGATTATCTGATAGTAATCTAGTGAGACTCCCCGCGGTGATAGATCGATCTAAAAGTTGTGAGAACAGAGCCTTAGATAAGGTACCTATGGGTAAGTATAGTAAACAGCCATACTTACAGAAAGCACTAATCCTTTGTCAATCAAAATATTGTGACCATATGCTTCGACTTCAACACTCTTTGTCCAAGATACTCGCATTGAGCCATTGATTCTGTCTTCATTCTGAACATAGACTTTGTAGTCGACTAGACCGGCCTGGGAATCTGGACAAAGCTGACTAAGCACATATTTACAAGTGCCCATGAAATGGATCCATTGGTTATCATGAGTATTGTAATGTGGATCTCCTGCAGCAGTACAGTGGCATGGTGCTGTAAAATTAATACAGTTTCACTTTTTAAGTTACAGGTACATCGTAAGTGAGCTCGGATTGGGGGGTGTAACAATAGTCAAAAGTTTCATTGGTCCAAATGTTCACTATAGCATCTTCAGACCAACGAACCCTTAACTATAAGAAACTGATGAAAATGTTACAATTTTTCAGACCAATGAACCTTCAGACTAGTGAGCCGGCCCAGTGGATTCTTTATGAACCACTTCTACTAGTTTCTTATATGACTCAAATAAAGATGACATGCCAAGGCATAAACCAAAATAATCACTCAATCAGCCATAAGAGAGTTTAAAACTGCACCTTATTCAAAATTTTGGTTGCATATTGACCTACTTATC